ATTTTGTCCTTATTACCTCACACCGACCGTTTGTAGTTTTATTCCTTTTAATAACTGTTGTGCATGTGTGCATGTAAGTAGTTACCCCTTCTAGACCTCAACCTGTCACCCTGTGCAAGGGTTTTTATAGGCCCAGTGGCTCTATTTCTCTAGTCAGTCTAGAAGGAACAGCTTAAATATAGCTTAAATATACATGTATATGGAAAGGAATGGCAGGTGGCTTCTTTGCAGTGTAATTCTGACGTGTTGCTTCTGGTTGCTCGGTGCTGTTTGCCCTGTCCATCTGTCTTCTTTAAAATTAATATATGGTACGAATCCATTTGTTCTAAACAAATGTAAGCCACCAAATAAGGCACTGCTGTTTTACAGGAATATATCACAGCACAGTTCGCAGCACAGATGAAATGAAGTCCTCAGTCATCTGTGATTTTTAATTTAAATATCTACCAGAGATGTTGTTGAGGGTAAATATGACATAGCTCCCAGACTGAAAAACCTTCACATCGACCAACAGGCAATTTATGTGTGTGTGTCTTTTGAGGGACAGTAAGTATTTATGCACTTTACTACAGCAGTTTAGTATATACAAGTGCTGTTCCTGTTGGAAAGATGAATGTTATGTAGCATGGGGAGTTGGTTTGGGTTTTGATCTTAATTCATTCTGCCAAACTAGAAAATGGGTGATCAGTGCCGAGTGATTTTATTCCCTTCATAAAACCGGTTAATTAAATAGTGACTTAATAGCGAGTGAACATCTTGTTTTCTGGTGACCTCCAATGGTTGAACTGCTCACCTTGTTGCAGTGATGTACTATAGATGTGCACTCCGTGTTGTGTCAGTGCACTGTGACACCACAAAAGCATCATATCTGGTTTGCTTATCGAATTAAGTGTTGATGAGACTCATTTTAAATAATGGCTTTTGGGTGTGTTCCTCAAATTAGCACTGATCTGGGAACATCTTATATTTCCTGGAATATAATAATGTGATTCTGGTTAATTGTAAAATACTGCATCTTTTGGGGGTCCAGGATCTGAGATACAGCAGTCTGACTCTGCCCATCATTCCACTGAATCAGATTCTTTATATAGAGCCTGACAACATACTCAGAGAGCAGAGTCCTGCCACTAACATGTTTTGTATCGATTCTGTCTGCCTGACATTCAGATAGCCTTGTCTAGAGTTTCAGCAGAGAGCAAGGACGAGACGGATGGACAAATACAGAGAGAGCAGAGAAAGCTCCCAGAGGGAGAACAGCTGCTCGGCAGTGCAAGAAGATACATTTTATGATGACAACATATTGCTATTGATTTCGAGTTTGAATGGGAGCATTGATTTGTTTGAACAGACATTACATTGTGGGTCTTAACAACCCTAATGTGATCAAACTGAAAGCATTTCAAATGTCATGCACTCAGGAAAGGATTTTGAGCGTTCAATATTTTTGGGAAATATGTTTATTCACTTTCTTGCCAAGAATTAGATGAGAAGACAATGCCAGAGATTTAGGAGCTGCAGCTCAAATTTTATTATTGTAACAGTTAACAAACATGAAATGCAATCTACAGACCAAAACATGTACAACTACTTTGCAAATAGAAGGTCAGCTGAAACTGAGATAGGAAGAAAAATATCAAATTGTTCTCAAAGCCTAAATTTTCACGTTAGCGTGCTCATATTAAATATATGGCAAACCATCCATCTATGCTGGCAGGTTTTGAGGAGTCATGCCTGCCTGCCTCTGTGTTGAACAGACTGTGGGATGTCACTGTAGCGTCACTAGGTTTCTTCTGCTCTGTTCCTGCTAAAAAACCCCCAGGCCCACCCATCCAAGATGGCCTCTCTGCTTCCCACTTAGAGAAATAGATGGAGTGTTTAAGTGTTTTTATCGAGTCAAATGGCACCAGGCAGATGACTGAATGCCATTACCATAATTTATCCTGAAGCAGGCTCTCAGGGTGTATCATCAGTAGGTCTGTTTGCTGCCCTGTGGAGCTTCAAGGAGTTTACAGACAGGTGTAGGACTCCACAGTCACACTGTGACCCAAGATCAGATTGTCGCTTAGTTTGGTAAAGTTTTGTTTGTTGTCTGCCACAGCTTGTCACCAGTGAAGTTAGCTTCGCTTCCTCTTTTCTGGTGACAGCTGAGGGGCGCTGAGTGGCACTTGTCCTTCAGTCTGTCCGTCCATCCATCCCCACCTGTCTCTCTCTGCCAAAGCTTTCAGAGGCTGCCCGCACAAATCTGTCAGACAGATGGGGGGCCGGCTTTTTACGTGTCACTTGAGGGACGCCCAGGCAACACAATTTGCGGCCCACAATGCAGTGTGTTTGAACCTTGTGAAACCCAAATGGAGAATCGGTGAAGCGCCATGCACAGCCCACATTCTCTGAAGAATCCCTGTGTATCCTGCCTGTCTGTGTCTACCTTCTGCCGGGCTGCTTTAGAAGAACGCTGCATCTTTTATTTATCCCTTGAAATAAGGCTGGACCCTGACAAGAGCATAGGCTGCACACAGACACACTCTCTCTCCCACACATGCACACACACACAAACAGGCCTCCTCCTGTTACTGAAAAGTCGGCAATTATGGAGAGAGAGGGAACGGACAGTTGGGATTTGCATATGTCTTTGAGAGAAGAAACTACATCTCCCACAAGGCCCGGCGGTGGAAATGAACCAGCTGTCCATGGTTTGTAGATCAGATCCCATCCTCTTGATTACGAAATCACAGAATAATAAGGACCAAAAAGTTGTGGGCCACGCTGTTTGTTCCTCCTTTGTTGTTCCCTAGAACAGAAGTTATTTTGCTTCTGCTGCCTCCGAGCTGTTTGCCATGTGCCAATGTTTGGTGCACTGTGCTCCACTTGTTCTCCTTTTCACACAGAAAATCAGAAGGCTCCAGCCCTGCCCCTCCAAAGCTGTCATGTGAACTCCCGCCTTTTGTTTAATTTACATTTTGAGGCACAGCCCATCAATTCCCCCTCTTCCCGCTGCCCCCTGCCAACACCACCACCCCACCATACCAAATGGCTTCATCAAAAATGCAGAGTTCAAACTAATTAGTGACATTTGGCCATTTGTGAAACTTTTTCCTCTCCAAGCACAGCTTCTGTCAAGTATGGCCTCGTAGCTCATACTTTTCATCAGTAAGAAGAATTTGAATATGACAGAAAACTATTTCTACTGTACCTCTATGTCCGTGTAGATTTACATGGAGATTTAATGCATATTATAACATATAATACAGGTAATTCATGGGATAACAATCTGATTTTCACATGGTTGTGGTAGTTTCATTTCCACTTTCCATTTCTAAAACAATTAGTCATGATAATTGTTTGCATATATGAGCGTATGGACGGTTTGTGGGTGCCTTTCGGGTTTGCTTTTGTCTCACTGATTAAAAATAGCTCCTAGTATGAAGACAAACATCTGTAGGGACAAAAAGAAATAAATCATGAGACAAATTATGACATGAAAGCTTAAATTACACTGAAGTACTACTACCAGATTATACAGAAATATATGATGTGGAGATTGGAGAGTCTTTTCAGTGTGACTTGGCCGGTGCAGTGATATTTTCAAAGGGCCTATGGCTAGGTGTTCCTGTACTGCCAGCTGCGTTTTTGCAAACAGGTGCTGTGTATATACTGTAATTTGTTTTTGTTGTTTTTTTATAAATGTGAAAAAAATGGTTTTATCACTAAAAAATTTTTCTAGAAATATGAAACAACCAATTTTATCACTTGACTCTCTAGTTCCCAGTCAGTTCTAAGGAACGTTGTTGCATTTTTCAGCTGTTTTATGGCCCAAAACATTTTGAATAAGAGTGTTAGTGCAGACTTGAAATGGGAAATTCCACAGATTTTACACACAAAGGTCAATTTACTAGACATCTGCAGTGCTGAGCAGATATTGCCCCTGATGACAACATCAGGGTTTAGTCATCAGCTTGGGCTTTTAGCTGACAAATATACTGTATAGGCAGAAGCCTGTGTTGTGGTTGGTTGCATTATGGGATATGGAGGATCCAACATTTTTGGAGCTTTGGTTTTTCTTACTTACTATAAGTATAATCCTAAATCACTAGATTACCCCTTTAAATGACCAAAATTGGGAGTTAGCTATACAAGCATACAATGGCAGTAGGTATTTCTTGTACTGTAGATTCAGCAAAGTATTTTCTAATGCAACAGCTGTACAAAGGCACATCAGATGGAGTTAACTCAAATAGCATAGCTGTCTCTTATCATCCCCATAAAATGAAACATCTGATCGAGACCCACATGACTCTTAACTTAGTGTTGTGTCTCTACAGCTGCTGTATCACACAGATGTCTAATTATTCACAATGTCACAGCACCCCCTTCAGCTGACTCACCAGAAATGAGTGACATTTTGGAAATAAAACTATGTGCATCTCTGACCTTTGCCAAAAGCGGTGAGCTGTCATGTATGTTGGTGCTAGCTTTGACTTGACGGTAGCTTGTTAGTTGTTTCCGTTCAGAGCTTCAGAAAATATTTCTAAAATCGAGAAAACATGTCCGCAAGGCATAGAGTTTCTGCCAAACTTTCTTTTACCGCTGTGTTTGCTGTAGAGGTTTTGTGAGAGGGAGCACTTGAAAATGAGCGAACAGCAGAACATGGTGAGGAATGGAGCAGTGCAGGTGAGGAGAGGGGAGGTAAAAAGCTGACAACGTTAATATGAAACCAAAAGGAGAGTGCAACCTGGCAGTCACTCAAATCCTGCACCTGCACCTTTATAAAACAAGCTCTCCGGTATTGCTCACTGGCTCCCTCTCTCTCTCTTTTTTGTTTCCCTCACTTCTCTCTTTTTTGCTCTCTTTCTCCCTCCCTCGCTCTCTTTCCTTTCCATGTGCTGTGGCTTGGGGCGTTGTCATTTTCAGCATGTTTTCTCTACACTGTGCACTGTGTGTGTGTGTGTGTGTGTGTGTGTGTGTGTGTGTGTGTGTGTGGTAATTGCAGCCCCCCTGCAGCCACCCTTGGGGAAGAAGAGAACGATGAGGAGGACCTGTTTGAGAGCAGCCGTGCCAGGTTTTGTGGTACGAGTCAGTATGGAGCTACAGACACCTGGTCTGCCTGAAGGGCAAGGAGAAGGTAGACTTTCTTTTTCTATTCTCCCTCGTTCAGCCCTCCCTTCGCTTTCTATTTGACCTTTCTCTCTTTGATGCTCTCTCACTTTCACACACACTCTGTGTGTCTGCTCTCCTCGAGCATGGAGAAAACAGCTGCCCTACAGCTTGCGCAGAGGCATCCCACCTCACTGGCCCAGCCCATCCCATCAATCATGGCATACTACTCACCGCTGTTTGTATAGATGCAAGTTCACTAGAAAGGGAGAAACTTAAAACTTTGGGTCAGTGACTTTGAAACAATTCAAGGCCTGAGACTGTCGTACCAGCTGATACTGCTTCATAAACAATAATACATAACTAACAATGCCCAACAACCTGATTGGCACAGGATTGCCACGGTCTGAACCCATGGACCAGATCATTACAATGTTCTGGTTCATTACAATTTGGGGCTTATTTTGAAAGTTTTAGCCATTATTCCCATTGGTTACATACATTTACTCAGCAACTGCAGAGAGCTGGGAACACTGACAGAAAGACTGACAGGGCAAAAAACACAAGTCATAAGGTAATCAGACAAGGTGTAAACAAGACAAAAGTATAAACTGATTAACTAAAAACTTGTATTTGGCATTGAAACCAAAAGTTAGGACATCTTAAATATAAGCAGTAATCCTATGCACAGTAAAACACTCTTGCATTGTTTGCAGATCTGAGTAATTAGCATAGTGAATACTGTACGGCATCATAACCGACGAAGAGAATGGTAGAATTGCAAAAATGAAATGCAAGTTTAACAAACTCCAATTACACTTTAAAGAAATTGTTTCACATTATGGGAAATATGCATGGTGGCTTTCTTTCTGACAAAGTGTCTACACAGAAGGCATAGCATGAGCAGCACATTTAGTAGAGCGCCACTGTGTCACCACTAACAGCTGCGGAGCTGCTCAACAGTAATTTTCTAATCTATAAAATGCAGAGCATTGCAATGTGAGATTGTTACAGTAGCAGAAAGTAGTGTATGTGTCACAGGCACTACTGTTTATATTCCACTGTGGAATTTTTAAGTGCATTATATAGTGGATAGTTTTACACATCATTTGGATAGCACACTATATAATGCACTATGTAGTGAGTTTGAACATAGCCACAGTATTAATAGTAGTTTGCCAGGCTTTTGGCAGTGCTCAGAACACAGTACACAATCGCTGTAGCTGGACATGTCCAATAAACTGCAGAAAAATAAACTAGGAACGTCAAAATACAGACAGATGACTGGAAAAACTTGGCTGAAACACTTTCTGTGTAGACACAGAGTTGGAGCGATACCACTCTCGTGTGGGCATGATAAATACAAAGCTACAGTTAGGAGATGGTCAGCTAGTGAGCACAAAGACTACAAACAGGAGAAACTTCCTTTTGTCGCATCAGTTCAGATTTTAATACAGTATTTCAAAACAGACGTGAATATGTTGTGAAATTACATCTATAACAAGATCGCTGATAAACTGATACTCAAGAACTGTGATCTGTGTCTGTCATCACAGTGTAGCTAGCATTTATAGTCTGCAGTGCTTTAACGCTTTGTCACTGCTCTTTGGCCTTTCCACTCAACTTTGATATTCACCATCAGCTTTGTGGCCATATGTGGACATGGTGGTTGAGCGATGAAAAAGTTGCTCGTTTTCATATTCAAGTCTGACATATTGAGGAATGGAAAGATGCACGTCGAGCGTTTGTGGGAAAAGACAGTGACATACGGACACAGACTCTCTCTCTCGCTCTCAGATACACACACATACAGCACACAACTCTTGGTCAGCAGCACAGATGAGTTCTGGGAAAACAAGCAGCTGCAGGAGGAGGAAAGGACCATAAGGCTGGATGGCGTGCCAAATTTCATCATCTATTATGGATTGCCTGAGATGCGTACTCTACCGCAACCAGGGGCATGTCTCAGATTCAAATGCAGTGGCCAGTCTGCATGCTCACATATACTCTGTTGGCAATTTATTAGGTACACCAAGCTACCCACGTACCTAATAAACTGGCAACACACCTTGTTACAGATTGTCACCTCATCCATAGTAATTTCCTTAGCTTAATAAAACGAATGGTTTGCATTTGTCGGTGGTGCAGTGGTTAGGACTGTTGTCTCACAGCAAGAAGATTCTAGGTTTGAACTTTGTGGCCAGCTGGGGCCTTTCTTTGTGTGAATTTGCATGTTCTCCCTGTGCCTGTGTGATCCAGCTTCCTCCCAGAGACATGCAGGTTAGGTTGACTGGTTATAACTTTTTAATTTCTGTATAGAGGACCAGTGCCTCGAACACATAGTAGATGGCGTGGGCCTCGATAACACACTTGCTCCTGCAGTGGTTACATTTTGTGGAGTGGTCTTGGTCCCATCTTCAGGAAAGGAAATGGGATAACTTGTTGTTCTGCGTGTTTGTGTATCTTTTCAGAGGGAGCACTTTGGCAGGCACCATTACCACCCAGCAGTAAATTGCCTTGTAAATTACAGTGCCGGGGTAATAAAGCCAGATTTGTATATCACCGGGAGTAGAGACTGTGTCTGTCTTGTAAATTTAATTAAACAGCAGGTGCAAAATCAGGTCATATGGCTTTGATGTGCCCCATGTGAGAATGACAACCAGACAAAGATTCTAATACAGGCAGCATTTACATATTTTTGCATGTGGCGGGCGGCTTGTACGGAGGTAGGGGAAGCCTCGCCTATCACCTTGTAGTGTATTAAATTTCCCCAAATTAAAAAGGATTCAAGCTGTCACCTTCAATTTTAATAGATCTACAGCAAAATAAATGGTTAAGCACAACAAAAAACAGCCTCTTGCTTGTTTAGAAGATGCATAAATGCAGCCATTACCAACACCTAGTGCCAACTGAAACACTTTCAGACTAATTGGCTCTTATTGTCTGCACATTAGTCAACATCAGAACTAACCCAATCCTGGTCTTGTTCCTAAGGTGCAGGAACCTTCCTCATGTGTGAAACCTACAGTCACAAGTCTCGAGGTCATGTTTGACCAAACGTTGACCCTAGAGCAGCCTGTGAAGTGTCTGACTCCTTCCTGCTTCTTTCAGCTCAGGAATATTGCTAAAGTTAGATCCATGGTGTCTCATGGTGGAAATGATCGTTCATGCTTTTGTCTCATCCTGATTAGACTGCTGTAACTCCATATTCACTTGTCTCAGTAAAAAATATTTCACCGTACAGAGAATGCTGCAGCTAGGCTTTTGGGAACACATTACACCTAGTCTGATCTCTTTGCATTGGCTCTCAGTCAAAATCAGAATTCACTTCAAGATCCTTGTACTTCCTTTCAGAGCCCTGCATGGCCAGGCACTCGCCTATATCAAAGATTTACTACAGCCCTAAGAAACTAGTAGGTCTCATTGGAGAGGGGGTTGTTGGCTAGAACTCTCTCTCAGTGGGCTTAAGATCTGTGGACACTGTGGACATTTTAAGAAGCAGCTCACGACCTATCTTTTTAAAATGGACTTTGAATAGTGATCTTATTTTTTGTAGTGCTCTTATTGTGTTGTTTTTTTGACAATATTGCTATTTTAAAGGATATAGCTTATAGCTGTATTTTGTACTTTTGTGTGAATCACTTTGTGACTATTGAGCTAGAAAGGTGCTATATAAATAAACTTTACTTACAAGCACAGGGCAAATAAAGTACTTCTCAAAAAAGTGAATCAAGATGTGACACCCAGCTAAGCCAGCGTCTGCAGTATACCATATTAGGCAAGCTGGGGATTTTCCAACCAGCTAGAATTGTTTTATTAATATAGATTTCTTTTAGACTAATGTGCACTGAAGCCAAAAATCATCCTCTTATGACTGTGCTTGACCTGTGACACCATCAACATGCTCTCTGGGCGTCCGGAAGACCCTTTCCTGTATGTCGATTTGAGCTCTCTGCCAGAAAGCCTACAAACGTGTCAGCCGAATCAGTTGACCTGACGGCAACACCTTCACTTGTTTCTTTCTTTTTTCTTTTTTTGTAGGGGAGAGGAAGTGGTTGATAATTACCACCTAGGATGTAGCCATCTGTGCCGCCCTTTCACGGCCTGTTAAGCTTGCTTTTCAGAAAGTTTAGTGTTGACAGAGGGCACGAGACAGGAGTGAACACAAGAGCGCGTTAAAAAGACTGCACACTCAAGCAAAATTAAAAGTACTGCTAAAGAGCTCATTTACAGGCAGACAGTAGAGGAGGAGGCAAAGGAGTAAGGATAGGAGGAAATAGGCAGAGGGCAAGGAGAAGGTGTTAAAATCAAGAGAGGGACTTGGAGGAACTGATGCGGTTGAGTACACTCGCTGATAAATCGCGTGAAGAATAGTAATACTGGAAACACGGCCAGCGACCTCACACAGTCCCTATCTTGTTTTGTCCCGGCATGCGCACTTTCCAATTGTTCCAGCTCTGTAACTTTTCATCAAACCCGTCCATCACTCAGCGCCGCCTATTGTCATCAGCCATGAGGGACACCTGTGTTTCTGCAATAAGGCAGCAGTTATCATCAAGCTGTCGGATATCTGTCACCATGGCTGGATCTATGTGGAAACCTTTGCTGTCAAAACCTGTCAGATTTCACTGAGTCTTTAATGAGAAAAAGCCAAGTTGAAACCACAGATACAAATGTGTGTGTGTGAGTGAGAGTGAGAGATAGAGCAGGCTGAGGGAACAGGTGCATAGCTGGAAGCTGTGGTGGTGGTAGGAGCAGTAGGGGCTCAGTACAGTACGTCATGTCTGATAGCTGACGCTTCCAGTCTCACTAATCAAACGCACATCAACTGCCAGTGAGTGAAAAACACATAACTGACATTACATAAAGAGCAGAGGGCTGGAAACTGACAGAGCTCCATTTCACAAACTTCATATTAAATCTTCAGATAGAAATATGTTCTTTTACTGTAGCCTTAAGCATTTTATAAAATCAATTTGCGACGTTTCATTGGTAAACCAAACTGTAAAGTAACTTGAAAATAGTGAGTGGTTTCCCCACAGTTCTTTTTACACCTGGCAATGTAGTCATCAACCCCAGCCTGTTTGTATATGAATCTGCACTCATTTCAAACTGAATCCCTAAGGTCTTTGCTGTTCTCAGGTATGTCATAATGACAGAAAACAGTTCGTTAATTTACCCGCGGCCCTCGACAACCGTTACCCTCATCAGGCAGGCTTGCTGTCCCAACAGGCCTGTCAGAGACCAGGTGAGGAGGCTCAGGTGATTGACCCCAGGCAAACATCTCCCAGATAAAATCAAGAGAAAGGAGGGAGAGCTGGGGTAAGAGACAGGAGGCAAGTGGAGCAGGAGAGCAAACACAGGGTTGCAGATGAAGAAACGGGATGGCACAGATGAGTTTTATTAAGGTGCAGATTGTGAGAGGGTGTCAAGCAGTGCTGAAGGTAAATAGAGAGGAGGTGTGTAATGGCAGAAAAGGACTAGAAAGACAGAGGAGGAATGCAATCCAATCTGTCGTTGACAGACTCATGCAGGAGCCTGGAGGAGTAGCTAACATTGTACATTACTTTATTTGAAAAGGAAAATAGTTTGTATTTCCCAAACTATTCCTTTAGCATCCTATATCCTGTTTATTTAATATGTACTAAATCCTCAGTGTTGCTGTTTTACAAGGGGGTTTATGTGCTGGACAATTTCTCGGCTGGGAGCAGTGACTCCTTGGAGTCTCCAGTGGTTGCAGTGATAAGACTTCTTTTTAGCTTTGCACAGAGCAGACTAGCTGTTTCCCTTATTTCCAGTCTTTATGCTAAGCTAAGCTAACTATTTGATATCAGTATTTTCATCCTGTATTTACCGTGCAGCAAGAGAGTGAATGTATTTTCCAAAATGTTTAATTATTCCTTTTAATATAGTTAAATATTGCTCAGATAATTAATAAAATTAATATTCTGTCAGCACTAATAAGTATTTGTTGAGGTTTTTCACAAACAATTGAGTTTTAGAACAACAAATACTGTACATCCTTTGCTGTTGATTTGACAGGCCAGGGCTTTGTCTAGATGAACCACAGGCAGCTAGTTTGAACTAATAGGTCTCAGTGGCTTAAAAGACAAAGAGCAGTACACTACATGCTGGGATAAAATAGATCAGAGGGGGGATCCAGTCATCATACTGTATGTCAATCACTGGCTGCAGTACAATAGTGCCCGGTCACAATCAGAGTCCTGCAAGCTGTGTGTGCAAGTATGAGCAAATGTACATGCCTATTATTAACCCTTCATCCTAGCCAGAAGTGGCAGAGAGCTCTTGGTTTACAACATCAACATGTGTTTACTCCATTTTTCCCTCAGCGGGGGTGAACGCTGCCCATCAGTGTGACATGTGAGGGCTGAGAAAAGAGCCTCTACAATAGATGTCGGTGCTCAGTGGGACAGAAAACAACACGTACGGAAGCTGTACTGCATGTTGGACTGAAGTCTTATTCCTTCACTAGATGCTTCACTTCTTAGTCAGTGGTTGTATGTTATTGACAAACAGGCGGTTCCATTTTGCAGCACTCTAGTTCCCTCTTCTGGCAAACAGATTTACCATTAAGTATATTTTGATGTGAATACTTTTGTACTTGAGCAACATTTTGAATACAGGATTTTTACTTGTAACAGTATTTTTACACTTTGGTATTCCTATTTTTACTGAAGTAAAGCATCTGAGTACTTTCTTCCACCACTGCAGCTTGTATCGGAGCTCTTAACACTACTTGACACAAGATGCAATTGACCACAGGCTCTTGTGCAATAATTCCTATATATACTGTAGTATTCTGTCTGGTGTAAATACTTGTGCTGTTTGTTATGATATTGTGCTATTTTTACTCCATTGTGGAGTCCAAAACAAAGTTCCTTACGGGGGGGAAGGTATACTTGATCTTAACTTATAAATCATTGCGGATCATAAAGCCGATTTTATCCTTGAACAGGGAAAAAGAAATATTCCTGTTTTTAACAGGCACACTGACTGTTCAGTGAACACTTATGATGATAGTGGTAATTTAGCAGTATAGATATGAACACATACAAGCCCATTAATCACTTCTCTGATAACAATTGCATATCTTGTTTTTCTTTTTAGGGTGTCTTCCTGTGCATAATGATGACTGACTTCCAGGAGGTAAGTAAGGCTTTCCATCATCAGCTGTACCTGTATTTGTATTTTCACTTACATGGACTAGTCCAGTGGTCTCAAACCTGGAGCTTGAGACTCCTACACAGGGATTCATGCTTTCAGAGTTTTCCCTCTAATCTTTCCATTTTTCTTGTGAAATACCGTCATTGTTCACCCTTCGGATCTTTAAAATTAAATAAAAAAAAAAACAATCTGCGATTTTGATTGAACTGACCACAGTTCAGACATGCAACCTGCGACAAGGTTTACAAGCATGACCTTGTATTAAGGCATTGGAAACTAAACTAAACTAGGTTGGAAACCACTGGACAAGACTATATCCAGGATATGTTTGTTTAGCCCTTATTTAGCCACCTTTCCTCTTAAGATTCAGCTGTTTTATTACGTTTACAGCAGTACTATTAGAGCCCAATGCACATTTCATAACATATTGGAGACCAGAGTCGTTACGTACGTTCTGTTTATTTTAAAAAGCCACTTTGACTGTAATACGAATTTCCTGCACTGATGCCATAGTATGTGGTTTGAAAGGTTAAGAGTTTGCTGGTTGGTTTGTAAGTGCAGGGCAGCGGAGGAGGATGCTGATGGGGAGCAGGAGGATGGCTTGGCAGCAGGGTGTTGGAAAGTAAAGCCAAAGCAGATCAGCCTGGTCGGCCTGCAGCCAGCACACGTGTGATAGCAGAACCTTGTGTAGTGTACAGAGCAGGTGCGAAGGCCTTGTCTCTTCTCATCCATCCCTCTCTTCAGCCACGCAGTTTGCATCTGTTTCTCTGAGGTTCAGCTCTTTGTCTTCCAAGTCTCTCTGTCCATCTCTCCATTTTCCATCCTCACACCTCCTGGCTCTCTCCCCCTCCCTCCCTCCCTCCCTCCCTGTATCATTCTTCATTTGCTCCAGATAACACATCAGCTTCAACGCCCATCCACAAACCCTGTCACCATGGTGCCCACAGATGGCAACTTCCTGTGGTCCTGCCCAGTGATTGGTGGAGAGACTTCCAAACAGAGAACAGCTGGTGAGGGATGATATATCACTGAGCGTTTGCACTTTCATTTTCAGGGTTGTCTTGTTAATGCTCCCAATCCAGCATCTGGCAGGAAATAGACACAAAGGCAGAGAGAGGGAGAGAACAACCTGTTCTTTGGCAGACCTTAACAAAAGCCTGACATACGTCTGATGAACAGACAGCTGCAGTGGAACACACAAAAGAGACAGAGCTGCTATGAATATGAAGGAAAGATGCTTGACACAAGTAAAACAAAGTCTAGATAAGAGGATGTGCATGTTTTCTAGAAAAAGCCATTGCTAGGCGTGGGAAATGATAAATACACATTCTGAGGATCAAAAAGCAGCAATTAAGATGTAACTGTACTCAAATGTTTTATCCACCAACATAGAAAAGTTAGAACATAAAAATACAAAAGGACTTTTTCATTTGTGATGCTACATGGTTTTGCTTCCCTGTTTAGCATTGCTTTCTCCATGAAATGGTAAAAATTAACAAAAGGGGAAATACATGTTTTTTTCATCTTTGTAGCATAAAGACTAGATATTACAGAACTGTATTTGTGGAGTGTAGTTGTTAAAAATGTTATTTTTATATTAATACTTTAGCAGACTAATTATGAAAAGATAATGTCTTGTTTATAGTAACCGCTGTGAATGATTTGTACACACATTCTGTCTCCCCCAGTGAACAAAAAGGAGAACTTTACAGTTTCAACACCAGAGGGAGCCATTCAACGACTCTGTGGGCCACAGGACTTCACCGTGGTATGTCTGACCATATTTCAATAGATATTTCAACACATTAATGAATGACGAGAAGAGAATCACAAAAAACAACAACCTTTAATACCTGGTGTCACAGTGTTAGTGGAACTGCAGATATATCAAGATGCTGAGTTGTACAGAACTGATCCAAATATGCCATTACAGTGTCAATTTCTTTATCACCCAGATTAATGAACTTTTATTTACTGATTAAACTAAAGACATCGGGTACCATGTGTAAACACAGGAGTACTGTGTACAGACAGCACTTCCTCTGACAGTAATCTGCTTACGTAGGCGACTGATTACAATTTAATTGCCCAATCAGGCCTGAAGAATGATGCACTGAAGATCATTTTGCTGAACATCAAACCATATTTTCTGAAAGAAAGGGAACAAAAAGGAAAATTAAAAAGCAGAGTGCTGGGCACCAGGTTTGACAACGCTACCACTGCAAAGATCTTTGAGGCTACAGTATATTAATTTGTAACATGTAGAGGTCAGAGAAAAAAATCATGCAGCTTCATCTCTTCACACAACAGGTTAGAAAATATAAATTGCTGCTCATAACCAAAATTGATCTTGGAATAGTTGCAAAGTAGAACGAGAGCCTTTGTAAAGTAAACTTGGCTTTGCTTCCCAATTAAGGGCTAAATCTTGGAAATGAGCCCTTAACTTGGTCAAACCGCCCTACTCCAACAACACCTGTGCTGGTGTTAATTGGTTTTATATGGAGCCCTGACAAGCCTCTTCTGGCCCTACAAAACAAGTAATCATGCCACGTGTCACTGCAGTGATTGTAATGTTTGCTGTCTGGCCCTTTTACAATTGTTGCATATAATACAGTTATCTACCTGTTCAGTGGAGCCAGCAAACACAGGTAAAGTTAGTTAGTTTGTGCTTGATAGACTTTGATGATGGTGATTTTTTTTAAATGTTTAAAATTATTTATTGTTGTGGTGATATCAGAACCCAGTTAGATTAAACTCTGAAAACTCTTTAAAAAGTATAGATGCGATCTTTCATATACAGCGACTTGTGTACTGAGTGGCCGAACACCTCCATTAAACAACTGGCACCATACTACACCCATTACAGATCATATCGAGAAGTAAAACAATGAAACCCATATACAGTGCAGTGCTTACATAAAGAAGCGTGAGACCCTGTAAAAACTGTTAATATATTACAAATACATGGCCAAAATGCACATACAGTAGACCGCTTGATTTCCTTCTCCCTTACAGGAAATCTGCTTGGCACGATTGTCATTAAAAACAACAGAAGCTTCAGGAAATAAACCAAACTTCCAAGCCAGAAAATTGGACAGTCTTTGATACAAAACTACCATGATCATACAGTAGGTGAGGTCAGCGAAAGCAACGCAGGATATTGTAAGGTACTCAGAATTTAAGGCTACTAATGCAGATGGTTAGCTACTGTTGTTAACTGTTGACCACCCTTTTGGTAACTGTAGCAGCACTTCTTATGAAATGCTACATGAACACTGATGAGTTATGACGCAAGGAGGGATAAAGTAAATGGCTTATTCAAAACATAGCAACGCGTGGTAGTAAAACTGTTTAATCAGAAATTATGACCAAGTGAATCATCTCAATGGTTTAAACTTTTGTTCCCCATTACTGACTTAACACTGTGAAGTTGTTCAGCTGTAAAAATAAATTCTAATTGCCCATAAAAACAAAGACCTTAACAAAATGGCCAAAATCTCTCCTGGTTTTTCAATCTAGCAACATTATAATACAGCTAAAAGACAGCGGCACACATGATAAAAGTAAAATGGATGGTTTCTGAATAATTCCCTGATTAAATAAAAGCCATGATATGCACATGTATTGTGACATTCTGCAGCTTTATCCCACCCGTGACATACAGTTGATTAAGACCAATTGATAGTCTTTTAATGTGATGTACAAACTTGCATAGATAAGGTGGTATAGTACAGAGCAGCTTCATAATTATGTGCCCCAAAACGGAACATTCTTTTATGTTTTCTCTATAGGCTTTTATGATGTCCCTGCGAGGAATAGCTGCTTGTTGTTAGAGATCTAACTACCAACAAAACGCTGACGCTCAGACCACTAACATATGCAAGTTTGCAATTTTGCCCAGCGGGTATTTGTTTAGTCTCACAGAGTGGGAGACCTAATCAGAGTTAAGCTTCAGATGATTCAGGATGATGGTTGAATGGAGGCTGATGAGCACTCCTGCTCAAAGGGGCTTAGGATATACAGTTGTTTGCTTTTTTTTTTTTTTTAAGTATGGCTATTAACAGTGTAGCGCATGGGTGACATCATAGAATCATCTGAATATAAAGGGCTTGACAACTTTTAAACATGCTTTCCTTAGGCATATTTGGATTTTGACTTTGAACAGTTTGTAATGCACAGGGGGATATGCCTGATTTTGGCCACTCACTTTAAGGCTATTCATTTCTATGTGGCCAAACCATAGACTGTATATAATACCTGACTACGTGTCACCACTTCCTGCCACTATGGAAAAGTGAAGCCACAAAATTGTGAATTTGAAGAAAGCCATCTTGCTTTTGTGATGCATTTTGAAACCTGATTCTGTGCAGAGGCGGGGCTGCAGCATCAGGCCACCAATTAAAAACTGGTATTTCCACACTTACCCTTTTTAGATCAGAATTTATTAAGACAAAATGACTACTTGTACACAAATTAGCATGATAATATCTACCTAAAATTACAGAAATCAACTGTGGGAAAAATCTATTTGAATTTTAGTTAAAATTTTTAGTTTGGCTTGTCCTATTTGCGAACATGAACAGGGCAGGGGGGTGATGGATTTGTGGTGGCTTCAGTCTTGGGGAGCTGTTAAGCATCTATCTTTATATACAGTCTATGGGCTAAACCACCATCTGGTACGGAAGCGCATTGCAATCACCAAAATAAAAAAATCCAGCTTTTCTCTCATAATTATAAGATCTTATCCTTGTAATTATGAGATGCTGCCGGGGTGGGAACACTACAGAACTTTCCTGAAAATCTTCAGATTTTAATTAAGTCTTTAAAATCAAAGTGATAAATGCCCGTACAGCTGATTTTCATAGCACAAGTGAACTTTTGTATGTAGTGTTCCAAAACGTAAACCAATATAGGCTGAGAACAGCCTGCCTACAGTGTAACTCACTATATACAGTACATGTACTAAAGAGGAGTTGGAAAGCTTCAGAACCTGCTTGAGAAACATTGGGTTTTTAAGATTTCTTCGGTAGGCTCTTTATGCAATTCTGACAGCACATCCAACAGTAGGTAGCAAAATGAACTGCTAATAGCTGAGTCAGCATACTTAGTGCTCCAGAACGTAATATATATATATATATAAATATAGCCTAGACTAAAAACGGTACCCTCATTGTTACAGACTGTATCCATGGCAACATTAAGTAGCCGATAGCTTACTTTCCTGTTTCTTGTCAAAGTTTATATCTGTTCGGATGGATGATGACTCTGAAGGCTTAAGTTTTAATGCTCTGTCATGATTACGAGATCAGGATCATGCTAGATTATGGTTGCTTTTATAAGAAAAAGTTTAATGTTGCCATGGATACAATGTGGGCTGCAGCTTGGGCATAGTTTTTAACCAATATTTGGTTATTCTGAAGGAATCTTAAAAACCCAATATTTCTCAAGCAGCTTCTGAAGCTTTCCAGCTGCTGCTCATTACATGCACAGTAAGTTACACTCTAGGTGGCAACTTTGAGGCCTGTTTTTGCCGACATTTGTTTACATTTTGGAACAAGTAGTATCCTGATATAACTATTAACAGTTCATTTTTGCTATGCACTATTGGATGTACTGACAGCTATCACTGAATTACTGAAAAACTAAAGAATCCATTAAAACATGATGATGTTCAGGCAAGTTCTAGATTATCTCATAATTTAGAGAAATGCTCATAATTCACAATTATGAGAAACTAAGTAATAGTTACAAGATAAGATCCTTTTTTCTTTTTTTTTTGGTGAATACAATGTGCTTTCATAATCCGGGGTCAGAGAATTACTGGAGAGACATCTATGCTAGTGAAGTTCCACCACATGCGGATGCAGTCTTGGTAAAAAACTGATGGTGAACTCAAAGGGGAGCACCACTCAATTTGGGAAATGACTCGATCTAGGATCATGAACTGTAACATCTTCTGGAAAAACGCTCTCACAAAGATGCTGCAAACATATAACATCTGGAGGCACATCAAAAACAAATGAAAAATGGTAATTAAACATAAGAAGTTAAAACTACTGTACATTGTCACTTGACAAAAGAAGATTAGCATATTTTTAGCTTTGAGTGGCGATCCCCTTTAATACGTATTCCTAAAAGTTTGGAAAACACACAACACATAGACACTACTCTGAGCACAGTCCTATTAAAAGCGATAGGTTATAAAACATTGACATCATCAAGAGGACGTGCTGTACACTGAGTTGAGAATGACAACAGCCTCCCATCTCTACTTCAGTCACGAACATGACAACGAAATCATGTTCGGTGTGCAAATCGAGTAACACCAAACATGCGTGGCGTAGCTCTAATGCTACTGACTGAATCTGTAGAGCTCCTCGAGGTGTGGTGGTGGGGAAAAAGCTTTCGCTGTGTACGACAAACCGACAAAACAGAGTGAAAAAGTGAAAGTACTTTCTAATGTGGCTCCTGCACGACAGTGTCCATACAAGAGAAAAGCATTAGTCAACATAGATTTTTTTTTCCTATTTGCAGTGACCTGCTAATATACCATGTCACAGCAACCCACAACTTAAGACCACTTAAAGTGGCCCAGACTTCCTCGACATCCTCAAACCGCCACCGTCTTACAAACGTGGACAAAGTGGTCCTTAGATAAGTCTGACATCCTCTGACCTGGCACCCCTCTTCATGCTAAAACCTAGGGTCACTTTTCTGGCATACCTCTCTCATGCAGAGCGATGGATCTCGAAGCGGCCGAGGGATGGTGTAGGCTCGGCCAAAAAACGAAACACTCAAAGCTGGTAGGAGGAAAAGAATGTAACGGGGTGAAAAAGGGAAAAAAAGATGGCCCATCCTTGGAGTGGCTCTCCGCTCCAGCTCTGAGGACGTGTTTAGGTTGGCAACGGGTCGTCATCACCTTTGCTGCACTTGCACTTGCAGCAAAGAACGATGGGAGTGGCCAGAAGGAGGAAGGGGGAGGCGACCAGCAGAAGCAGACCGAAGCCAGCAAAGATCCCCACGACCTGCAAGGTGAGAGAGCAACAACAAAAAATAAATGTATTGCATTATTTTTCATAACTGTACAACATTTCTGGAATTTTTTTGTAATCTCATTGTTTAAGTGTAGCCTGGAATATTTACAATTAACTGCAATACCAAATGTTATCCAGCAGAGGTCATAGTACAGTAGCTTCAAAAAGCTTTGTTTTCTGGTAATTAAAGGCCTATAATAATAATAATAATAACAACAGCATTTTCTCTTCCTACTTCTCCAAGTAGCAACAATTTATATTAGAACAACTGGGCAGACCCTTATTTGACATTCAGATCGAAAGCAAAGGTGCAAATAAAAATATGGAAACACAGGAAATTGACAAACACAGGTCATCTCGTACAATGCACCAGATCAGCAACAATTTGAAAAACCTACTGCAAACTACAAGGACTGAAAAAGGTCCCAAATAAACTGACTGGGCCATTAAACTAACAGCTCCAGTACCATGGAGAGAAGGCTAACCCCCTGTAAACTCTTGTTAAATATTTCTTCTTTTGTTTTCATTAATTGCTTATTTACTGTTGGAACTTGTACCTGAACTTAAAACTGTTGGTTCATGATCTACCACAAGTTCTTTTTCTAATATAAGGAAAGTTACATAATCACATACTTCTCAAGTCAAATGACACATAAGGACTGGAGTGTTTCCCCAGGCTTTACAGCTTTGGGGGGATGGCGGTGACCATGTAGAGACAGAAATTACATGCCATCATGTAAATAAGATAACTGGCATAAAGCTATTTATTTTGTTTAATAAAAGAAAAAGGTATAGACCTGTTCTATAGGAAAGGTAACCTTAAATGACTTCTGTTGTGATCTAGCACTACATGGAAAATAAAATTAACTTTTATGCCTTTTATATTGGCGGGGCGCCCCCCCCCTCTTAATATAATGGCAGGGAACTGTTACTCTACAGCAGGACTTTGTGGAACACAAATAACTGATAGCTAAAACATTTGTTCCTTATCAAGTGAGCTGGCAAGTGGGGTGTTCTGAGTAGGAGGTGGGTTTTATCAACTAATAATACATCCTAGTTAATCATCTTTTTTTAAATTCTATGCATTAAAATATTACCAAGGCAAAAACAAATAGTCCTGACAATTTAATTAGAATTTCTTAGGAGCAGGGCAACTCAGTTACTTCACCATAAGGGGGAGCCAGACACTAGTAAATTCTAACCAATAACAGGAATACATAACACACAGGCACATGTAACAGTGACGTATACCAGCACAAATCATTCCCACTCAGAGGCTGAGGGACATATTTTGGGGGATCATACAGTAGTTAGTTTGTACTGTAGTGGAAAGCGTAATATTTGCTTTTATGTTTAGCACGTGACCTTCCCTTGGACTAACTTGTAGTAACATAGACCCTATGTCATCAGATACAGACAGGGAGGGATGTTGTTTTCACAAGCTACAGTACATTTGCCCTGGTGCATCTACCATGGGAGTGAGAGGGAGACTCTCTAGATGTGAAGGAGGTTAATGAGGAGAGCAAAAGAGAGAGAGCGAGCAGTGAAGCTATAGCTGGCTTCCGTCAGCTAGCTGTAATCATGTGACTCAGCCTGCCCCACTGGGCAACAGATGCTAGTTTTGACAAAATAACAAGTAAGTTGGACAAAGCGACGTGCCACCCAATGAACTGATGATTTGGCTAAGGAGAGTCACCGAGGAGAAATTTGGGAACCGAACAACAGAGTCAGGCTCTTGTCGTATGGAAATTACACGCCATACCTAATCCTTCATGTGTGATCCATCAATTCACATATGGGAAAGTACATACTGTATAAAGCAGTGCAAATTACATGTAATCCTGTCATTTTGTTTAGTTACATAATGGTAAAAAAAAGACTTTGGTTACTTAAATCTCTTTAAAGTGAATGGTGTGAATAATAGGGTTGGAGACAGAAGAACCCCAGAAACTTGTCGGTGCACGTGGATGAAGTGGTTCTTTTCCTATTGTGCTGTCAAAATAACACTCTGTGAGCCAGGAGGAAGCACAAAGCGGCAGAACCAAAGTGCTCATGTACGGCCACATGCTGGGGTGGGCAGCGTAATAGATGGTGGGGGAGCGGAAGATTGGTTTCTCACCTGTGTTCTGTGCCAGATAACAGATGCCCTGGAGTGGCCGAGTTTGTTTCGACAAGGCCCTTTGTCGTAGTGGATCAGGAGGAAATCATCCTGTGACACACACACATGCAGTACAGATAAAGACTGACCATTAGCAGTCTGAAAGACCCGGACGGCCGCTGAGAGAAAATTGCTTTGTAAATGTCCCACGGTTTCAGTTGTTTGCACTCACATAATTAAGATTACATAAGGCTCATAAGGCATCCTTATTCTAGTCACAGTATGCAAACACAGTACTGCAAAAACGCATACTGCTACTCTTTGTTGCAGTGACTATCAAGGAGTGAAGGAAGTAGTACGGACTAACTCACATCCAGTGACTCCAGGCAGTACCAGCAGAAGGCATGTTTGCAGTTCTTGCACATCATCTGTGCACAGCCTTCATCCCTCTCGATGTAGACTTTACATTTGGGACAGCGCTTGATTGGTGCATCATCCTCTTCATTCTTATGGAAAGAGCTGCGGAGAACAGAGAGATGTTTTTCATATAAAATCCAATGTTATTCACCATTCACTTTACTAGAAGTGCTGGAGATAACACAGCTTTAATGCAGTAATCAATTTGTACAATCTTTGGTGTATGAAGGTTGTATAAAAACAGTGGATAGTTTTAGTTCAGGAGCAACAGCTCTTCTAAGTTCTAGCAGTCACTAAATAGCCTTGAACTCCCTCTCACATTCTTATTCTCTGCTCCAGTTGGTGACAGTTTGCCTAGATCTCCTGTAAAGTACGGACACAGAAATCTGGAGGCGAGCAGGTAGGTGTCATTCTGGCCATTGCACCAGGACGGCAAAGAAACCCATTCATTTCTGAGCAAATTCGCTGTGAATAAATTGTACTACGCCTCTGATTGAATTACAGAACATTCTGTACATCTCCATTCATCTGACACCTGGCAGCCACCGGGAGATGTAAAGTATGCGGTTATTCTGATTTAAATAACTTTTTGTTTTTCAATAAGTGCATTAAATTAATCTGTCTAATGAATAGAAAGGGATTTTGTATAAGAAGCAGTCATCTCATCACAGGCAGACAGTTTGATGTAATGCTACATTTTTCACTTTCATTCTGAATCAGCTATGGGGGGATGGGGGTCAGACAAGGTTTAGAATTTCTTCAGTTACAGAATGTCTGGGGTGCAACTAAAAATCAAAATCCAGCTTTCAGAGACATCCTTATAGTGAACAATTCAAACACAGTCTCTTTACAACCAGGGGTAGGCCTGCTAATCCTCTCTCTTTTTTCCAGTGTGGTCTCAGAGCTTGGCCCTGAACCGGTGCAGATAGAAGAAAGCTCTGCAGAGCTAGTGACATTTAAAGAGTAAGCGGACATCACAAAGAAACGGGTCAGCTATACGCGTCTTGGTGCAGACCTCATCCTGCCCACACAGAGGCAGCCCATATCCTTCCAGGGGTTTCCCTACCATAGAAAGGCTTAGGTGCCTAAGTGTTTCTGCAGAGCGCCGAAGCCAAATGAATATAAAAAGGTGACATATCAGAATGAATGTAAAAACAACGCTGAGTTATACACGCTAAAAAATGACAAGATGACTTGATCTCAAAATGAAATGTAAGCTACAACAGCATAGCCCCAGCTTGTGACCATCATGTGTTGACTGTTAGCTGCACCACAATGTAATTATATAGTTATTAAAATGTTCAGTACTATTTTATTTATTTCACTTAAGAAATTAATTTATACCTACTTACACCATGTCTGAGCCATATCAATGTAATGTTAGCCACAGTTTGTGTCAGAGACCCCATATCAAATCAAATCAAATTTTATTTGTATAGCGCCAAATCACAACAAAAGTCATCTCAGGACACTTTACAAAGTAAGGTCTAGACCTTACTGTTATCAATATTATTTTGACGGACTGCTGTTTCCTGCGGTAAACCGTACTCATTTCCTGTTTTCTGTATTTGCACTGCATTGTGCTTGCTTCCAGATTGTTTAGGAATTAAACTCACTATTTTCTAGGTTCATCTGAATTTTTGAGTGACAACATACGCTTGCACCACTTAAAGCACTTGTTTTGCAGAAGTTCTTGCTAACTACCAAATTTAACTTGCTACTTTAGGTCGGCTAGTTTAGAAGCTAGCTAAGCTAGTAGCTTAATCGAGAGCAATGGCTTCCCCCTCTTCCTCTCCTCCTTTCTCTTGCTCGGAGTGTCGCATGTTCAGTTATTCCTCTGC